ACAACTCACTGTGATGCACATATGGCTTTTAATTACAAAGCTGCCCAAACATGAGATAGCCGAGAGTGCTTTTTTATTTCATAAAGGAGAAAACCTCTTCAAAACCATCTCTCAGAAGTACTTCCAAATTCACAGCAGCCAGCAATTAATTCAGCCATACCAAGCTTGTCCACCTGTGTTGTTATGCTAAAACAGAACCTCACTTCATCTTCCTAACACATTGTCTTTAAAAAAAAAACCAAAAAGGCCTAGGGCAGCAAGAAACAGGGCTTAGTGTTCAGTGTAGCCTAAAAGCAACGTGTTAACTCTGTACTGGCAAATGTTTGGGATTTCCAGTAAATTACCTGAAGTTTCTAAGAAACCACAAAAAGCGCTGGTCTTCTCTTTTATGCTTTTCTATCACATGCAGGATTTTAAAAGTTCCTTCAGCAGATGTATTGCCTCTACCAAAGCTAACCTCATCCCAGATTCTGCCTTTACAGAGAGAAATCATCTGCTGTCTTGTTTTTCTTCATGGAAATCCATGTATATTCACTACCATAAAGTTAACAGAGAACCATACACAAGAGAATCCCTGAGCAAGTAAAACAAGAGGTTCAAGCAGAGAAACAGCCATTTTTTGAACCAGATAATCCAAGTTACCAAACCTGAATTCAATCTTTGAAGAAAGCATAACAGGAGACACAAGGGATAGTTGCAGCCATCGGTGCGAGACCTACAGTGGAAGGCATTGAGTCTGGGGCCTCAGAGGGGTTGGGTACGAACCAGAACCGCTGGATCCAGATCCACCAGACAGGGGTGTTTCTCTCCCACCTTACAGGCTCTTTCACAAAGGATGGATCAAAGCAACCACAAAAACTGATGAAAATGACCAACAGAGAGCAGTAACAGCCATAAAACCTCAGGAGCTGCCATGAATGTCTACCAGGCTGTTCCCAAGGCAATTTCAACTCAATCCCTGTAAGTGGTTGTTAACTTCAGAACGAACAAAAACCCAAAAAGCAACCTACATACAAGTAACGTTACACAAGCAGGCACAGGCATGGCAAATTGAACTTGCAATTAACTGGAAGCAACGCAGGTTTCTTTTAAAACATCACAAGCAATCAAGTTATTTGCCTATAATAATTTTGTTTGTTCGTGAAAAAACATAGCCCAATCGTGTAGTGAAAGCAGCTTTATTCAGCAATTTCAGTTGCATCCTGGAAAAGCGAGTCACAAATATAATAACCTAATGGGCGGGGTAACACTTGATTTTGCAGAGTGATCCTCTAAGGGATACCAACACAAAAAGAAACACTTCGGGCTTAGTAACAGCATTGTTAAGTTCTGTGTTTCCAAGGAAGCGTGTGCAAGTGTATGCATAAAAGGAGTCTAGGTGGGGTATGAAAAAAGTAAAGAAGAATGAAAACCAAATGTTATCAGCAGGTGAAAAGTTAACAGATGACGTAACAGTCAGTTACAGTATGCAAACACAAAGGTTTGGGCAAGAAAAATTGAGACAGAGCTAACTTTGAAAGCCAAAAGTTAACATACAGTGCATGATCAAATTTGATGTTAGAACAAATTTGATGTTAGGAGCCCCAGGCTGCTGGGGAGCGGCTGGGGGAGCTGGGGGTGTTCAGCCTGGAGCAGAGGAGGCTGAGGGGAGCCCTCATCGCTCCCTACAACTGCCTGAGAGGAGGGGGGAGTCACCAAGCCCAACCGTTCCCCTACCCCTGCCATCCCACCCCCAAACCTTGGCCCTCAGCACCGCCTCTGCCCGGCTGTTAAATCCCCCCAGGGCTGGGGACTCGACCCCTTCCCTGGGCAGCCCCTTCCAGTGCCTGACAGCCCCAAGGGGAAGGAATTGTTCCCCATGGCCAACCTCACCCTGCCCTGGCACAACTTGAGGCCGGTGCCCCTCGTCCCATCGCCCCTCCCCTGGGAGCAGAGCCCGCCCCCCCCGGCTCCCCCCTCCTCTCAGGGAGTTGTAGGCAGCGACGAGGGCTCCCCTCAGCCTCCTTTTTTCCAGGCTAAACAAATAAAATATTAATAAAATATTAAATAAATATTAATGAAATATTAAACACTGTAATTAGTGCCTTATTGCTACAAAAATATAAATAATCTGAACAGTCATTGGGGGGGGTGGGGGAGGGGAGGGTAGAGAGAAAACCAAAAAAGAAAAAAAAATGTCTAGACTGGTGTAAAATTCCAGGCATGGAACAGAATACAACCATGTCATTAGGAGAAATAAAACCCAGGATATTTCATGTCAAAAATAAAGATGACTGCCAAATAATAGATGCGCAAACCCCACTAGCATTACCAAAAATAATCCATCAGTCACTTTGGCTACCTAAAGCAAGAGCTTGATGCATCACTAATGGTGGATTATAGAGCTAAAAACATGTTATGAGAAATGGGATTATAACAAATTCATGTGTCCTACATGAACACAGCCTGAAGAACGCTGTACTTGAATGCAGCAACAACTACTTGCATGCAAGTATTAATTAGCAGTTAACGTTTCTCTCAGCTTTGATACTGGAAATGGCTGCCCAGGTGTTCTTTCCCTGTATCCAGCCTGGTGGGGATCACTCCATGTGGAAAAAACAGTAACGGTTCCTATATATATCAAGGATTAAACATATATGGTGTCCATCCATATCATGCATTAGCTAATCAGAATTATGCAACGTGGAAGAGTGCTACACTGGGATTAGTATGGCTGGAACAAACTTAGAATCGCAAAAAGTAGAACAAGAAGCTAAAGTATGAGGAAACACCAAGTCAAAAAAACTCCATATTATGTTAGAAAACCAACAGCTGTTACAATTAAGTGATGCAGAAACCCTAACTATTCACCACTAGTGTATTATTCTTCAAGGATGCTCACAGCTGTATTACAGTTAGGTTTTTCACACCCCACAGGTTTCTTTATATTTCAGATTGCATTGTTAATGGTGACACTTGTCATACATTGATACACTTCACACAGGTCTTCACATCCTAGCGCTATGACTAACAATACTGAGGGTAGCACACCAGTTGAAAAAGCATTCTGAAGCACAGATGACCAGTATATTGGGAAGAATCAATATCCACATTAATGTCGTACATTCCCATATGGGTATTGTCCAAACCCAACGAGAAACATAAGGATTTGTTGTAAAAGATACTAATATTGGTATGAACGAAGCAAGAATGTGCATATAAACTTGTGTTTAAGCACCAGAACAGAGGACTCATTAGCAGAAGGTCCTGTGCTCTGATGACGGGAGGATGACCACAAGGTTGCTGCATTTGATATACACAGCTCCTTTTTCTGTTAGCCCGACACGACAGCAGACTACAGCAAAGCGCCACCCAGGACCTGATAGCTCATATACAAAGTTCCCCGTGTTACAGGCAAGCTAGACCACTTGGGGCAGGGGGAGGGGGGAACAAAACTGAGTTGGTGCTTGCAAGTGCTACAGTGGAAGTGGGTAAACATCAACTTACACAGACATTTTATAAATAATTCCCACTTTTCCCTTCCATGTAGTCATTGTTATGCTAACTTCCTACACCAGCAAATCCCTTTATCTGGATAGTTTGGGTTAACCGCTGAGTGGTGCGGTTGACACACCAGAAGGACGGGATGTCATCCAGAGAGACCTGGACAGGCTGGGGAGGTGGGGTCATGGGAACCTCATGAGGTTCAACAAGGCCAAGTGCAAGGTCCTGCACCTGGGTCGGGGTAACCCCCGGTATCAGTACAGGCTGGGGGAAGAAAGGATGGAGAGCAGCCCTG